TCTTCAAACTAATCTATTGTCGTCTCATCACTCTACTCTCTAAACCCACTCTCTTCTCACTACCTTACTCTCTTTTCTAAAGTTCTCTTCACCTCTCATCATCCACCAACCGTAGTCATGTATACCACCATGAATACCCAGACCGCCACCGCCGCTCAGCTCTCTCATTGGCGTCGTCAATACGGCACCAGTTGGTTTGACGGCGCCGATGGGAGTAGCGGAGACTACGACCTGTGCGCGGTCGAAGACGAGGAAGAGGACGAGAACGAGAGATGGTGGGAAGAAGACTCCTCTGCTATCGAGGACGAGGACGAGGAAGAGGACGAATGCGACATGGTGCAGGATGTCGTACCTGAAGAACTTAAGCAACAGAAGCTTGGTGTTCCTAGCATCGTGCTCACCACTACCGAGGGAAACGTCTTCTTCGGCAATGCTATCCCAGAGGGAACATGGTGCACCGAGTCCCGTGAGTCCCTGGACCTGCGCACAAAACACATCAACAACGCAGAGACGTTCCTCTGCCCAGGCGACTGGAGACAGCTCCGCAACGCCTACCGCCTGTGGCAACAGCAGGAGTATGACCAGCGGATGGAGCAAAATTTGGAGCTGGAGCAAGAACGACAGCAAGAGCGACAGCAAGAGGAAAAAGCAGAGACTGCATTACGCGAGCACCAACAGCTTTACGCACCCCTGATCTTCCTCACGACCCCCGACGGCGACATCCTCACGGGCGACGAGATCCCAGAGGGACAACGAGCCCAAGAGCCCTGCGAGGCTCTCCGTAGGGAACAGCAATACGCCGCCAACGCAGAAACGCAACTCTGCCCGGGCAACTGGGAAAAGATCCGCGACGCCAACCGCCCCGAGGAGCTAGAAGAGGACGCGGTCCTACACGTCAACCTGCGCGAGGCAGAGGCCGCACTTCCCAAGGGCAGCCGCAGCTGGCAGAAGCGTCTCGCGCGCGTGAACCAGCGCAGCCAGCGGCGCCGGGCGAGACAGCAGGAGCTCGAGGAGGCGGAGCGGCTCTGGCGGCTGCAGAAGGTCCGGGTGGAGGAGTTTGTGGCCGAGAGGAGGGCCAAGGTTGAGGCGCTCGAGAGGATTGGCGCGGCGGGAGATTTCCCTGCGTGGAGTCGGAAGATGGATCGGGAGCAGGGGGAGGCGGAGGAGAGGCTTAGAGTGCTGAGGAGGGAGCTTGAGAAGATGTTTGAGGGGGGTTGTGGGGAGGAAGGTGAGGTTGAGGAATGAGCATATGTTGTCTCTTCCCTCTTCCCTCTTCTTGGGCGGCACAGGTTGCTTCTGGAGGAATAAGCACGAAGCTTCTCTGCTCTCTTCTTGGATATCGCCGTTGTATTCTTCGGGTTGCTATAGGGCGAAGATGGCCATGACTTACGGCCTTGGTGTTGGCGTTTAGTTGTTTCAATAAATTGACTACCGCTTTCCCTTTCTCACCTACTCCCATCCATCACCCAATGCCTCTTCGCCATAATTAACGATTGACGTCCATGAAAAGCCTCATCAACATGTAAGCCTTACATGGATTTTGTTTAGAGTTGTCGAAACAAGCATAGATATTGTCGAGCATTTCCCCACGAATCAACTGCTACATCTGCCGCAACACGGTTCGTCTCGTGTTCGATGGTTTCTTTAGATCGTCTGTGAGAGGCAGCCATTTGTCAATTGTCTACTATGCGATTTGACACTGAGCCTCATCGGAACGAATTGCTTTTGTATGTCATTGCGCAAAACGGTCCACGTGCTATAAAGTCGTCTCAAGTTGTACTTGCATGTACAACAGGTGTATCGTCTGACGCCAGCATAGTAAGCTTGCAAGAAATCTCTACATGTAAGGGAGAGACGGGAAGATGACGATGGTAGGCCTCCTCCCTCTGTACCCCAAAACTCTAAAAGACCGGATGTTCCTCAGCTGGTGTTACACGTATCCGTGCAGGCAATGACAATTCTTCCGAGGCTTCATCCGTTGACCTAGCACCAGGCTGGCTCATCAACTTGCACCGATACTAGTGCTAGATATGTCCGTTCTCGCAGTGATTATCTCCTTCATCCACTGCCTCGTTCAACTCATCCCTTCAGTAGCCTGGGATAGTGAGACGACGTCAGACAGCCAAGCTCATCGTCGATCCAGGGTCCTGGGATGTCTTGGCAGAGCGTCAGTATCCGGGGAATGCGGGGGAGGCGAAGCGTTCGTTTGCTGTTCGAGCAGGACCTTAAACCACAAGCAGCATGGAACAGCAAACACCCCCCCCCCCCTTGATTCGATTGTTTGTCAGACCCCAATGCAGTAGTTTCGCTGCTCGGTGGTGATGTTGGCTGCCACTCGCGTGACTGATATGCATGACGAGAACATTGAGTATAGGTACCCACGTATCGAAGTTAGGAGGGAAAGGAAGAGGACCCCACATTCACGCCGGTCCAGGGTCCCCACTAAGAGCACTGAAGAAAACCCGACCGATCGACCGAGCGGCCAATCCGCGTCGGCCGGCTCCCAACGTCGACCGGGGTGGCAAGCGCCAAATGGGAAGCGTCCCTTCCGTGCCCCTCACGCCGTCTTTAACGGTCTTCCCACCATCATAGGTAGGTACAGAAGGAACCCATCACCTCACTCCTGCCTGCATTTCATCGTCCGATTCGGCACCTGTTTCGCGTACGGAAGTAACGTGCTTTTCTTCGCTTCCGCCTCCTACCATACGCACACCACCACCCTAACACCCCCAGACACCCCAAGACAACCTCACTTTGGACGACCACACCCACTTCGGGAGTTGCAAGACCTCGTCCATCCCCGGATCTTCCAGCTCGTTCCTGCCACCCTGGTCCTCTTTTGGCTCTTCCCCGCCAGCCACTGCGCAAGCGCGTCACAACAACCTCAGCTACGTTGACTTGGTACGCTGATACTGCGTACACTGTCACGAAGCGAGCAATCAGAAAGTCGCGTGGTTCGATTTTTGGCACCGACCGTGTAGAAGACGGGACTTTTAAAGACAGACTTGGTCGCACACCCCACCGTCTGAAGACACGCCACTTTTTGCATCGTCTTACACCAAGCTTGTCTACTTTGCCTTACCTCTCATCAGGTAGGCCCAAATCTTGATCCCTTCCTTGCTTGAGACACAAGCCCCGAGCTTCTTTTCTGGCTGGGCTCTGTTCCTTCACATATAAAATCATATACGATTTCCACTTTTCCATTTCCTATCTCTACCCCGCCACTACGACGACAATGGCACCCGAAGTACTTCAGCAATTTGCCGTAGGTGGAGGACTCCCAGTAACCAAGATGCAGGATCCGAAAGAGAGGTTTTATCACCATTTTCAAGAAGAAGTCACCGGTACGTTGGCCCCGTAAAACAAGGACCGAATGGTCGTCTGATGTTTTCTGGGCCGTATACTAACAAAGAACCCCGCACCCAGGTCTACAAGAGCAGATCGACAATGTGAGCTCCATATCTCAGGTCGGTGGTGAGAGGCAGGACGCCATTGATCACATCCTGGCCGGTATATCGAATCTCTCCAACGAAGTCGCCGACGCTTCCGACTATGTTCCCTCGTATGACCAGCGGAACTACGCCCAGGTGGGTTTGAGTCCATAACTTACTCAGGCTTCCTGTTGCATCTCGTTGACACCTCTTCACTTAACAGGCCGTCAAAACTCTCACAGACAAGTTGAATGAGACCACAGCAAAGCTGGCCCCGCGTTCCCGCTTCCAGTTCAAACCTCGCGGAGCCAGCTCAGCAACAACATCAACCACCAATGGCCCAGCCGCGCCCAAAATTGACCCCCGTCTCATTGTAGGGGCAAGCCTTGCCGATCCCTTCCCCCCATCCCGCGGCGGCCCGGTCGCCGCTTCCCCCTCCTCCTCCGTAACCCAGGCCGCTACGGAGACGGACTCAGACGGCCTCGGCGATCTCCCCAACTTCCCAAAGAACTACAACGAGGAAATGGCCCGCCCCAGCGCCACCAAGGTCCGGAAACCCAGCTTCTCTACCGCAAAGGACATTGCAATTTTCGGCCAAGACGGCCTGCACATCATCCTCCCGTCCTCGGCGTCGAGGGCGACGAGTTCGGGCCGCTTGACCGATCTGAAAGGGTGTGTAGTGGACATGTCCATCGCGCTCTCGGGCCACACCTCGTTTGCGAACCTGGCGCTCAAAAACGTCGAGAGGAGTCTGATTGTCGCGGGAAACGTGGCCGGGCCGGCACATATTACGGGTGTGTCGGATAGTATCATTGTCGTTTCTGCGCGGCAGGTGCGCATCCACGAGTGCAGGAACGTTGATATTTATCTGCACTGCTCGAGTCACCCGATTATCGAAGATTGTTCGAATATGCGCTTTGCGCCGTTGCCGCCTAGCTTTGTAAGTAAACCCCTACTCGTCCATACTTCTTTTCCTCACCCCTCCCCCCCCTTTTTTTTCTTGAGATATCAGCCGCTGACTGCCAAGCAGGACACCACAGAAGATCCCACCAAGAACCAGTGGGACCAAGTAGACGACTTCAAGTGGCTCAAATCAGAAGCCAGTCCGAACTGGAGCATTCTGCCCGAGGAGAAGAGGCTAGCCGAGGAGATTTGGACAAAGGTTGTGCCGGGCGAGCGCGGCAAGGATTTGCACGATATCCTCAGGGCGATCGGGGTCCAGAAGCATTGAAAATCAGGTGGAGCATGCTGTACATCGACGGGATGCGGGAAAGTGAGAGGTCATCGCTACTTGCAGAAGTTTCCTGGATCGAATCCTGGTTTGGAGTTTCAAGGAAGGCGGTTTTGCTAGGTATCGCGAGGGATGCATAATATGTTTTGGCGCAAGAAAAACAGCGTCCTCTTCGTCCAAAATTTCTTCGTTTGGTAGTTCGCATATCGGGGTATCATAATAATTCAATCTGGCAAAAACTTTTCGTCCCAATCTCTCTCACTCTCCTCTTGCATTCGTTCTCCTTCGCAACTTCTCGCTTGAAGTCTTCTTCCATCGCACGTGTTCCATCCTTCGCATCACTCAGTCTCCATCTTATCCCCGCTCCCGCCCTCCTCATGCCCAAACTTCACACCCGCCTCCCTCAACCGATCCAACACCTCACGCTGCATCCGTATCCTCTCCTCAAGCTCCTTGATCTCCTCCTCCTGTTCCTCAACGGTCCGTTCCATATCCGGGAGGGTGCGCATCTGCGTGCGGGCGCGCTGCAGCTTGTGCTTGAGGGCGTCGGTCTGCGCGGGGACGTCTTTGAGGGAGAGCGGCGCGTTGGGGCTGGCGGCACCGCCAGCGGCGGAACCGAGAGGGTTGGGTGTGGCGCCGGCGCCGGCTGGGGTTGCGCCTGTGGTGAGGCCGCCGCCGATGGAGGAGGAGGAGCCCGAGGTTTGGATTGCGGTTCGAAGGCGGGTTAGGATGCCTGTTAGTTCGGTGAGGGTGTCGAGGGCGTCTGGGGAGAGGGTTGAGGGTAGTTCGAGGGGGTGAGGCGGCATTTTGGTGGTTTGGGCTGGCTCGGTCTCGGGGTCTTGTATGAACGGAGAGGAGACGTTATGCGTTGTTGACAGAGGTGTGGTGAGAAGTGTCGGTGAAACGGGTGACTTGTGGAGAGGTATCGGGCTATTCTCAGCCTCGCGGTAGGTGCGTGATGGAGAAAGGATGGTCGTTGGCTGCGTGCTCGAGGCTTGGAAAGTCAATTGACGGGGAGATGGAGGCGTAGGTACAGTACCCAGGTGGGACAAGGTGAGGTGAGGTGAGGTGAGAGAAGCAGTTGCTCGGTGAGGTCCGTCCGCGTCCAGGGTCGTGTCAAGCTGGAACGGCAAGGGCCAAGGCCAAAGGGAGGGGGGAAGCTCCGCCGGGGCAAGGAGCTTCCACGGGCGTTTTAGCGGCGCGGCGATTGGTAGCTAAAAATTGTTGAAAGTCAACAGAGGGGCAGCCGGGCAGCCCGCACCGTTTCTGACGGAGTTGGCACTGTACTTTCGACGGAAGAAACGGTTGTGTGGACAGTGTGATTACGGAGTGCCACGGCACGGATCTATTATCGGCGATACTATGACATAAACCCCCACCAAACCACCGACACCGATAAAACAGCCCAGGCGCCGGGAAAGCTCACTGTACCTAAGAAAAGGTGGTACATTGGCTGATTCAATCAAATCTCCTCAACCAGCCTGGCACTTCTCTCACCACCACCGCCGTCGCCGTAAATAAAAGTCTCCATCTCCCAGAACAGGAAAAATCACGCACTTCCTAGAACTCTGCTTTCATCCAGATATCCCCTTCTGTAAAGAAATTGCTGCACAGAAAATAACCTAATTCACCATGGCCAAGACCGACCAGAAGGCCTGCCTGAGTACGTCCAAAGATCTCCCTCCAGACCCTCCGTGCCCCTCGTCGAAGCCCCGCGGTGATGGAGATGGTGGTGGTGTGAGTGTTGTCGAGGCTGGCCACCAAAACCACCAGAACGCGCCGCCAGCAGAAACAGTCCCCTCGCCTCTCCCGCAACCGCAACTAATTCCCAAATCCAATCCCGATTACATCCTCACCCTTGCCTACATCATCCTCTATCTCCAAGTCGGCTGGCTAATCTTGTGGATCTTGCGCTCCTACAGTCGTGATTGATGGCTGGGGTGTGCCCGGCGCCGACTCCCCCAAGGATGGCGACGCCATCACCAACGCAAAGACCCCCGTCATGGACGACTTTGCCCAGAGCAAGACCGGATACTGCGAGCTCGACGCCTCCTCCATTGCCGTCGGCCTGCCCGAGGGTCTGATGGGTAACTCGGAGGTCGGTCACCTGAACATTGGCGCCGGCCGTGTCGTCTGGCAGGACGTCGTGCGCATCGACCAGACCATCAAGGAGGGCAAGTTCGCCGACAACGAGGTCATTAAGAAGACTTTTGAGGGTGCCAAGAACGGCAACGGCAGACTGCACCTCTGCGGTCTCGTCTCCCACGGTGGCGTGGTGAGTTCTAGATTCTGAGCCCATCTTCCGCTTCCCTCAAGATGCATGATAGTCTAACACACGCAACCCTCCCAGCACGCCAAGCAAGAGCATCTCTACAACCTTCTCAAGGCCGCCAAGCAGTACGGCGTCCCCAAGGTTTACATCCACTTCTTCGGCGATGGCCGTGACACCGACCCCAAGTCCGGCGCTGGCTACATGGAGGAGCTCGTCAAGACCGCCAAAGAGATTGGCATTGGTGAGATCGCCACCGTCGTCGGCCGCTACTACGCCATGGACCGTGACAAGAGATGGGAGAGAGTCCAGATCGCCCTCGACGGCTTGATCAACGGCAAGGGCGAGGAGAGCACCGACCCCGTCAAGACCGTCAAGGAGCGTTACGCTAAGGGCGGTGACAAGGACAAGGACGAGTTCCTGACTCCCATCATTGTCGGCGGCGACGAGGGCCGCATCAAGGGTGAGCATCTCTTTCCCCAAAACCCCATACTTCATAACTAACAGGAATCCCAAGACGACGACACCGTCTTCTTCTTCAACTACCGCTCCGACCGTGTCCGCCAAATCACCCAGGTGCTCGGCGACGTCGACCGCTCCGTCCTCCCCGACTTCAAGTTCCCCAAGATCAAGAACCTCGTCACCATGACCCAGTACAAGGCCGACTACCCCTTCGAGATCGCCTTCAAGCCCCAGCACATGGGCAACGTCCTCGCCGAGTGGCTCGGCAAGCAAAACGTCGAGCAGGTCCACATCGCCGAGACGGAAAAGTACGCTCACGTTACCTTCTTTTTCAACGGCGGCGTCGAAAAGGTCTTTGCCCTCGAGACCCGCGACGAGTCCCAGGACCTCGTCCCCTCCAACAAGTCCGTCGCCACCTACGACCAGGCCCCCGAGATGTCGGCCGACGGCGTCGCCGACCAGGTCGCCAAGCGTCTGGCTGAGCAGAAATTCCCCTTTGTCATGAACAACTTTGCGCCCCCGGACATGGTCGGCCACACGGGCGTGTACGAGGCCGCCGTCGTCGGCGTCGAGGCCACGGACAAGGCCATTGGCAAGATTTACGAGGCCTGCAAGAAGGAGGGTTACGTCCTCTTCATCACCGCCGACCACGGCAACGCCGAGGAGATGAAGTTCCCCGACGGCAAGCCCAAGACGTCGCACACCACCAACAAGGTGCCCTTCATCATGGCCAACGCCCCCGAGGGCTGGAGCCTCAAGAAGGAGGGCGGTGTCCTGGGTGATGTTGCGCCTACCGTCTTGGCTGCGATGGGTCTGCCCCAGCCTGAGGAGATGACTGGCGCGAACCTGTTGTCCAAGGCATAAACGCATTTGTGTTATTTCTGTGTTTTGGGTTGGGGCGGGATGTTGTCGGCTGACGGCGGAGTTGAGGTGAGGGTGTGTCTTTGGCGAGCGGTTTTCATAGGGGAGAAACAAAAGTTGACAGAGTGCAGTGCTGGCGTGTGTTGTGAAGGATCATGATGACAATAGACATCCCTAGAGATAAGAAAATGAGAATACGCTTTAATGACATGAATGGTTCTGCATTACGTTCATCCACTTATTGAAGTCGAACGCGCAGCATATTCTTCATGGCCCAAGACTCCTCCGGAGGGTTGTCATACAGAGATTTCACGTTCTTTCAGCAAAACAAGTCCCTGATTCAGCTTCCAAATAAGCCTTTACCATTTTAATTTGTCTGGCGGAAGGCCAGGTGTCAACTGATGATGAACAAAAACAAATATTCTGGTGGTATTCATCTCAATCTCATACCTATGGATACGAACCAAGAAACCCCTATTCCTGCTTCGCCAATCATGTACATCTACTACCCCTAAAAAGCCCAACGCACCATACAAAGAAACACCTCGATCCTCTATTTAAATCTCCACTCAACATCCTCCCATCCAGCCCGCCTCGAAAGAGTCGCCTTGCTAGACTTGCTTCCATAAATCGGCGACCGCAGACCCGAAGTAGAGAAGGGCATCTCATGATCCGGTACCTGCACGCCCTCGAGCTCGAACCCGACAGCCAAGCACGCCACCGCGCCCAACAACTCGGCAAACGCAAAGTTGCGGCCGGGGCAGAGGTGCTTGCCGCCGCCAAACGGTACAAACGACTCCTTTGTGCCCTTGGCAATGTCGGGCGTGTTCTTGAGCCACCGCTCCGGGTTGAACTCCTCGCCGTCCTCGCCCCAGACGGGCTTCTTGTGCATCACGGACGCGCTCCACTGCACCTCGACGCCCTCCTTGAGGAGGTACTGCCTTCCCGTCTCGTGGTCCGTGATGGTCGTGTCCTTGCTCGTGACGGTCCGGCTGCCGGTGACGGTGTTCTCCGAGCGGAGCGTCTCGCGGTAGCACGCGACGACGTAGGCGCACGACTTGCCCAGCTCCGTGACGTCGATGGTGGCGACGCGTTTCCCGCCCTCGGCGGTGACGGCCAGCGCGGCCGAGGACTCGACCTCCTCCCGGACGCGGGCGAGGTATCTGGGGTTGGCGAAGACGTTGACGATGAGCCAGAACATGGAGGGCGCCGTGTTGACGGTCGAGGCGGCGGGGAGGGAGTCCATGGCGCCGAGCATGATGTCCGAGAGGCCGAAGCCGCGCCAGAACTCGGCGCGGCCGCGGATGGTGGCGGAGACGGTCGGGCCCTGGTCCATCTTGCGCATGTAGTAGCCGACGAGGCCCGTGACGATCTTTTTGCGGGCTTCGAGGGCTTTGCCGGCGATGATTTTGGAGATCCAGCCGTATTGCATCTTGCCCATGCCGCTCTCGTATGTCCTGCGCCGAGAATGTTAGCTACACACTGACAGGGAGAACGGAAGAAAACGCGAGGGTAAAGAGAACGGCATGAAGACGTACCAGATGGCATCAACCAGCTCCAAATTGTTAAACGGGCTATGCTCGCCATACAAAGCCCTCGTCGTCGCAACGCCAATCAACCCACGAGCCCAGTAAAACACGTCATCAATCTTTTCGGGGCTTCCGGGCTTCACCTCGTTGAAGCGGCTGCCAATGTAGTCGAGGGCGCTCAGGTTCAGCTTGAGCAGGTTCTCGCCGGACAGGGCCGAGATGGTGACGCGGGAGATCTCCTCGACGGCGTTCTCCTTGACGAGGCGGTGGGTGACGTCCGGGTTGATGCCCATGGCGCGGCCAATCTCCTCGATGCGGGCGCCGAACTCGAGCGTCTTGTTGCGCATGGCGCTCTGGACCAAGGGCGCGCTGTTGATGACGTACATTTTCTTGCCGAGGACGGGGATTGTGCAGATGGGGAGCTTTGTGCGTTTACTACACGTAGAGAGATTTGGCTGTCAGTGATGTATCTTTGCCATGATGCTCTTCATGAGGTCCCGCCTCTGAGGGGCGTTTTTAGAGCGTCTAAAGCGTTGAGAGGTGTTGTTCGACTTACGCCAGCTTCTCGTAGACACCAGGGTACGATGTGTTCACGGTGATCCAGTGGCCGATGATGGGGAGAAGGCCCTTGACGACGGGGGGCTCGCGGGGATCAACGGGCGCGGCGACGAACTTGTCAATGACC